ACAGCTGTGGAAGCATGCTTCACCCAGTAGTAAACTAACATATAGCTTTTATTACACAATACAGTTTTCTCTTCTAATTTGCCCCCTGATTTCATAGCTGGCTAGACTTGCTTATTTATCATTTAGATTGTTTTTTGGTTTCATAAAGTGGATATATGCCACAGTGATGGTGCAGGACTAGACTGAGTAGTTGCTACAGTATGTACTAACCTTGCCCACAAGTGTAAAAGGAATGGAGGTAAAAAGTCTTTGATAGGTGGCTAATGAGAAGCTTAAGTGTTTTAATTTTGTGCCTCATTTAGTTCAAGCAGTAGAACCCTGTAAAAACCTGTGTGAGTCTGTATTCATTTAGATGATGTTCTGTAAATACCCAGGTTGTGTCAGGCAGACTTGATGATGAATGTGTAGAGGCTAAATGACCAGTAGCAAGGACCGCCTCCTATTGTTGCTGTTTACAACCACAATCAATCTCCTGTGTTTCCTTGGCATTATATCTCTACTGCTTCTCACACACTCACACTGGCAAAGGAATCTTTTTCAACTCTTTAATCAGATTCTGACATTCACTCACGAAAAGTCTTTTGGTGAAGTTTTTGCAGTGTCATCAACGATAGTGCTGCCCAAGGTTCACTGCTTGTGTTGTTAATTATAGAGAAGTCTTACTTTTGTGGATGATCATGTCTGCTACATATGGGCTGTAGATTGGCCATGCTGGCACAGTTGAGTGTATAAACTAATTGTGACCCTCTGGGGGGATGAGACTACTTCACTGTGCATGCATGTCCTCTCACCTGGACCTCTGCTGCACGTGCAGCCAGTGAATGCCCACACTGACACAGACTGGGCAATGCTCCTCACAACATATAATATCTTCACATCTCATTTTCACAAGCATAAAGTAAATTTCTTTCGAACGTTTTATTAAATGTTTTTTTGTTGGTATTTCCTCAGAATATCATTGCAAGATGTACATGCATCTGATCCACAATAAATCAGTTTGGAAATATGCAAACAAATTGAAATGACAGACAGACAAGTATTTCAACCAAGATAAAAGAATGAGTGGAAACCCTTACCTGCTTAGAAATGGCTTATGAAAGGAAAGGTAAGGCAATAATGAAAACATGAGGTGTTTGTGCAACCATGTAATATTTTGTCTTCTTCTCCTGACCAGCTTGTTTATCACTAGTCTTACTCACATGCCCTGTTTCTGTCTGCACCTCGTTCTCATTAATATCTCTGTTTAGAGTTGTATGTGTATGCTTTCCACATCTTCTTCCATTGATGCGTGCATGTGGATTAAATGATATCAGGAATTAAGGTCTCAGCGGCCCTTGGTGCAAGACTTGTGGCCTCATTATTTTATTGTGGCATGTTTGACCAGACTGGATAGTGATTGTAATGGGTCCTGAGAGGTGATTGGGGTGGCTAGCAGATATGTGAGGTAAGGTGAGCTCAGTGTACTTCTCCAAGGAGGAGATGATTAATAAACCACACATACATACTACACACAGTGGCAGTCTTGTGCTCCACGGATATGTGGTGTGAACGTAGTTATAGAGATAAACATCATCTGGAGATTTAGGGTAACTGGCACAAACACAACACACCAATATTTGCTCCAATAATACGCAAATGATAATGACATACATTTTATGGGGCAAATATGCATAAAAAGTAGCAGCACATTTCTGTTATCAGTTATGCTTAGTGTTCATCCATATCAGATCAAACAAACACCAGTCAGGCACATATCTGTACATGTTGATTAAGAGCCCACAGCACCCTCGTAGATGTATGTACATCACATGCCACATTACCTAACTATTTCAGTTTATGACTGAGAATGTGGAACGGCCTACGGAGTCTGCATGTAAACCACAGCAGTGGAGGCAACATGAAAGACATGGCACCAGCCACTCATCATGTTGCTCCCTCCATGTGTAGATAACAGGAGCTTTATGACAAGGCTGGGCAGGGTGCACATAAACCCTGAATGTACACTCAGATGGGAGAAGGAGGAGGCGAGTCACAGGATGGGGGTATTCATGGGGAATCTTATCTCACCAACAGATGCATACATTTTAATTCAACCTGCTAAAAACAAGTTGCCATAGAAACGTTATGAATCTGGATCATATCAGAATATTTGGCGATAACATACTTTCTGAAATATAGCTTCAATTTTGCAAAGATCCAGATTTTGTGATAAGGAGAGAACATGTGGTGTAAGAGTGAGTGGTATAAACACTGTAGCTTGATGAAGTATTTTTGAAGAGCTAGACAGAAGAGTAGATCATCCCCATCTGGGTCTGGCTAATGCTGCTGCCATGCTGCCAGGCATTGCACTTGATCAGGAATATACAACTTGAACTAAATGGATGTCACATGAAGCTTGGCTTGTTGTACACACTATCTTTTGCCTTATGGGAAGAACAAAGAACATATTTCATCCAATTTGTTTTTAAGTTTGTGTGCTTGGCTCTTATATGGAAGGAAGAGAATAGTGGATGACTTGATGGGTGTTATCATTCTCACAGAAGCCTGGCACCTAGTCTAACATATAGAACCAGAAATATAGTTATCTTACTTACAAATATATTTCTAAAAATAATAATAAAATCCAAATGGAAGCCAGAGCAATATAGACTTGCCAAATCATTCTACACTTGAGTTGGACTCCTTTTTTAATTTATTTCGGTCTTGGAGACCGACAACCATGACACCAGGTTAGGGTAGTTGTGTGTCGTGTCGTGATCACTCACATTAGATGATAGTCTGCCCTGGCCCCATTGGAGGGTAGTTGTGTGTCGTGTCGTGATCACTCACATTAGATGATAGTCTGCCCTGGCCCCATTGGAGGGTAGTTGTGTGTCGTTTCGTGATCACTCACATTAGATGATAGTCTGCCCTGGCCCCATTGGAGGGTAGTTGTGTGTCGTGTCGTGATCACTCACATTAGATGATAGTCTGCCCTGGCCCCATTGGAGGGTAGTTGTGTGTCGTGTCGTGATCACTCACATTAGATGATAGTCTGCCCTGGCCCCATACGAGGGTAGTTGTGTGTCGTGTCGTGATCACTCACATTAGATGATAGTCTGCCCTGGCCCCATTGGAGGGTAGTTGTGTGTCGTGTCGTGATCACTCACATTAGATGATAGTCTGCCCTAGCCCCATTGGAGGGTAGTTGTGTGTCGTGTCGTGATCACTCACATTAGATGATAGTCTGCCCTAGCCCCATTGGAGGGTAGTTGTGTGTCGTGTCGTGATCACTCACATTAGATGATAGTCTGCCCTAGCCCCATTGGAGGGTAGTTGTGTGTCGTGTCGTGATCACTCACATTAGATGATAGTCTGCCCTGGCCCCATTGGAGGGTAGTTGTGTGTCGTGTCGTGATCACTCACATTAGATGATAGTATACTCTGGCACTACTGGTAATCCAGGATAAGTTGAACCAACTCACAATATGCGATTGAAACAAGTAGGCAGTGCACAGAATTTGGGCACACATATTTGGTTTGTACAAGGTAGAGGGGGTGTATACATGTTGTGCACATGCAGGTCATGACAATGAAATTGACTCCGCTTCTGTGGAGACACATATAAGTGTGCTCATAAGACTATTGACAACAGAAAATAGCAGTTGAAAGTGAAATGGACACCATCATTTTCAAACTTGGTCTGATACAAAAAACGCATCAGAAGGCGAAAACTATGTGATTGTCCAGTTATCTCAATATAATTCCAGCTCGAAATATTACGTTTACAGTATGCTGAAACCCCATAAACACTGACATAGGATTAATTAAGGAGAATGTCATTGAGTCAACTATCACTATGTTAAGGTCTCAACCTTTAGTCATTTGATGAATGACATGACACTATATATTATTGCTCTCTGTGGTATAAAGAGTATTCCATTTTTACAGCAAATGGTTTCCCTTCATTGCCACGATACTTCTCAAGTGTTGTTATCTATGCAATTTGCTGTCACCATTTTCACAGTCATCGGGTACCTCACATCAGCACATACTATTATGTTCTATTAAACTCGTCACTAGAACTCAGTGTTCACCGAGTCGTGGACCATCCGCTACCCATTTCTTCACTATGGTATGTGCCCAGTGGGTGGACATAGTCATATGGGGTTAATTGTCAGGTCACAACTCAACTTATCCTGGCACCAGGTTAGGGCAGTTGTCTGTTGTGTCATGTTACACCAATGTATTGAGCTATATACTGTTATGTCAAATCAATTTTAGTGGACAGAATAGGTGAATGCTAAATATCCTGAATGCTTTGTTTATAGCAAAGTTTTATAAATATTATTATTTCAGATCCTGTGTTCCCCAAAATAAGCTTCATTCAAAATCATGAGTGACACACCAGCTGGTTAGCTCAAGCCCTTTGTAAACCAATGCAAATGAAAGCCCTGTAGAGTAGATGAAGTAAAGCTGCCGAACTTTTGCTCAAAAGCACAATATTTAATTATGACGTCATATCATTTAGGAGACAGGCAGTCATAACACGATGGTGAAACAAGACAAAGTTATTGAAACATCGCTGCTTTTCGCAATCCATTTTACTTTAGAACAAGTGTGTAAATTGGCAGGTAGATTTTAAAGAGTCTGTGTATCTGTGCTTTGTCAGTTGTTGACATCAACTGTCGCTTGAGTCACCAATTTGATGTGAATATGTATTATTTTGGATCAAACTTGAACAAGTGATTATGAATATGCACAAGCCACATATCGTGTCAGACAATCTCCATAGCCCTTGAGTTAATTGTAGGTGATGAATTTAACAGTGGTCAGAGACTTGGGAGGAATATATATGCTGACTAAACTTACCTACATTTTGTTCCCATTTCACACAAGATAGCCAGGACATCCACACCTCTCAGTCACAGATGTCTGCTGCTGACACTCTGCCGAGGTACTCTGCAGATGCAAATGTATTGAGACCCTTAATGATATCATCCTACTTTCCTATTTTTCAGTTGTGAGCCAAGTTGATCCAGATGATGCCTCCCGAGACTTTGGTGACTACTCCTACAGCTATGAAGACAGGTAGGATTACTAGCTACCCACTGCTGTGTGTTTGTGTAGTAGGAACAACTTCGGCACAACACAAGCTTATTGGTGTCCTAGCTGTGTCTGATGACACAACTTGATCACTTAGTTGGTCCGAAGTCCCTAAGGTTCATCCATATCTGTGAATTGTTAATTTGCCATGTACATGTTTGCTTCTCCTCTAAACCAGCCAAGAGAGGTTCCGCCTGACAAGGATGGATTATGTTTCTCAAGAATTTTCATCAAATGTTAAATTTGTTTTTGGTAAACAATACAAACTTTACAGTGTTTCATGCAGTGTTCCGAAAGAGCAGCTCCTTTGTGAGTCTTATCTATATACAGTATGGTGGTATCCAATCTATTCAAAGCACAACATTAGCCAGCTGTCATCTGCAGCTATTGACAGGAAAGTTGCCATATTCTGTCAAGAATTGTTGCCATATAAAATCTAAAGAGTATGTTTTTAAATATGTGTTGGTAAGTTTGTGGAAAATAATTTTTTTAAATAAATATGTGTTTTTGCATTAAAAGCTATCATTTATAAAAAAAATACTGGGACATGATTGGTACTAATTTTTAGTGATGAAGATTATAGACTGGACAACCAAGTTTGTCAATGGCATTATCATAAGCAGTCAGGGATGACCTTTGAAAATAAATGTTTAAATGTGGTATGTACATTTGATCATTGTTGTTGAATCCTAAGTATAGAATAGTTACGAGATATATTGAATGAAACTTAATATGAAACTGGATATGTCAGTTTAGCACAAAGGTGAAACTAGATAGCCGCTGTCAAGAAAGTTTTATATACGTGTAAGGCCTACTGTTGCTATGGTACGCTTTTTATCTTGCATAACTTAAGTGCCATGTGATGTTAGAAGTGAAGTATAAGGTGCCACCTGTTCCTGGAACAAACAGATGTTTAGTTTTGACTTTATGGTGTTTGCTGTACACATAGAGGTAGGATGCGCGGTGGAATGGTGACAGGACACTGTCTGTACAGTTTAAAGAAGCAGTAGCAAACCAGCAAATGTCACACTGACTGGAGATTACAACCTATTCATGTTGTATGATGTAGTTAGTGAAGTGGGTGTTTGTGTTCCATGCTGCTAGGGAAAAGGTGGCCAGGTATGAAGGGTGGCCTCACTCATTTCAGTCTTGTAACTGTGTGGAGCATGTGCATCTGCTGTCTTAGTGCTTGCATAGGCTTATCTACCCAGTAATTTCGATCCATAACTCAGGGAGCATGAAATGTTGTTTCATTGTTGGTAGGCCACTCTCCCCTGCTGTTGAATAGAACAGTTGAATGCATTTTATGTGTCTTTGTTTAAAACTGACATTCATTGTCCCAGTGTGTGGACACACCAATCCTCCAGTTGCCAACCGTTTTTACAAAAAGTGATTTTGTTATGCATTAATGATCATGGCATAACTGTCATTGTCCTAACTGAACATGTGTTTTGGAAAGACAAAACTATCAGTAGAAATAGCTTTTACATCTAGCTTTGGCCATGTGAGCCCCAGGTTTTATGGCTGTTATTATGTGGGAGTTTTGCACATCAGTAGTTTTATGATGGAATAATAACTGTGCTCTAATCTGTACAGCTGCCACCCATAATGGTGCGGCTTTATGTCCCAGCAAGGTATGTGTTACAGCTCACACAGCTCAATCAGGCACATCTAGTCTCCAGGCAGACAACCCAACAAAGGCATTTTTATTAAGCTTTCTGGAAAAGGATTGCTACAAGAACTTATTTAAGAAAATCTGTTTGTAGGCATATATATATCTGTACCATTTCTTTGTGTTAGCCCAATGATGGAGGAATGTTGTTAGAAAAAGGTCAGGTCTTGCCTGTCCATTTTCATGTGCTAAAGTACCCACTTGAATGGTATGGGCATGTTGCCATTGCCCATAAGAACCTGCAGTTTAAGGACAATCTATTGTGTCACAATATATATATTTGAACACTTGCATAAGATCTCCATAACTCTTCTTGCTTGGTGTAGCTTACTTCAGTGACTGAAATAGTTCCTTGTAAATATTTCTACTTACACATTGAGAAGACAAAATGCTGTCAATGTTGTAACCAGTGAGGCATTTTGTTATGTATGAATGTGAATGGAACTACCAGCTGAGCACCATGTTGATGAGATGATTTTGTAATGTAAGGGAAGTAACCCCTGCTTCAGATTGCTGCTGTGAGTGGGGAAGTAAGTGAATCACCCGTACAATCTCACTGAAGGCCTTGATCACACTGCACCTTGCCTGTTTTGTTTTCCATTGTTTTACAAGGTGTTCATTCTATTCAGTTTTCTGTCACACTGTAGAACAGATGTACTGCTGTTGGTGTGTTTGCTGCATGTCAGTGATGGGATACAGCTCCGCCTTCAGTTATCAGCTGCACATGTTCAAACTAATATTCATTATGGTGGTGTTTTTTCATGTTTTATGAAGTGTAAGATTAATTTTACCAGTGGAATCATGTGTCATCAGCCTAGACAGTGTAGTGTGAGTTGCATAAATGAAATGAATTAATCAGACACAGATGCATTTAGATAACGAGTCCAGCCTGAATATCCATGACTAGATTACACTAATTAATTACCCTGCAAGTGTGTCCTGCTAGACTACTCACAAGCTCAATAGCTAATTCATTATGTTAAGGCAAAACAAAAAGTATCAAGGATCACATAAAGAGAGAGGGAGAGAAGTGCTGTTTCATAATAATGAGCAATGATTTTGGTTTCCAAGAAAATTTTGTTACTGCAGTTGACACTCTATATAACATCACAAGGGTAGTTTGAATATGTAGTCTTTGAATGTCAAATTATTGATATCAGTAATCTTGATAAAAATGGACTTTGACTGTTGGTTAACTGGTTATTATTTTTTATGCATGTATTATGTTTGTCTCATGAAGCAGTGTAGACAAGATGCAGGCTGTTTTATATGAAGTGGATGTCATTGAATGAGATGACGTCCATGTGCATATACCTCCAGTGAAGTGAAAAGTTCTTTCTGCACGCACATAACTGTCATGACCCATCCAAGTGAACTGACAATTTTTTCACAATACAAGCTGCGACCCAAGTGTACAGGAATAATGCAATGAAGATGAATCTGGAGTGCATTGTTGCTGTGATGATAAGATGTGCAAACGTCAAGTCTGTTTACTACTGTGGGTTCTCCCAGCAATTCTCTGACAAATCTCATACACCATGGTTGCTTCTGCAATTCTGTAATGGCAGTTCACTGTAGGCTTGGCAAATGATTCACCAAAATTGCTTTGCATATGATAGCACAATGTGAGCCTACAATGATCAATGCAAGTGATAACCTGCATATGAATGGAGTTGGTTCCCGAAGAGCTGTGTTGTTAGGAGGAAGCAACTGTGCCATGTATGTAAGTGACGACTGAGAATAGCTAGGAGAGCCTAACTGTGCCTTGTATGTAAGTGATGACTGAGTGTAGCTAGGAGAGCCTAACTGTGCCATGTATGTAAGTGATGACTGAGTGTAGCTAGGAGAGCCTAACTGTGCCTTGTATGTAAGTGATGACTGAGTGTAGCTAGGAGAGCCTAACTGTGCCTTGTATGTAAGTGATGACTGAGTGTAGCTAGGAGAGCCTAACTGTGCCATGTATGTAAGTGATAACTGAGTGTAGCTAGGAGAGCCAAACTGTGCCTTGTATGTAAGTGATGACTGAGTGTAGCTAGGAGAGCCTAACTGTGCCTTGTATGTAAGTGATGACTGAGTGTAGCTAGGAGAGCCTAACTGTGCCTTGTATGTAAGTGATAACTGAGTGTAGCTAGGAGAGCCAAACTGTGCCTTGTATGTAAGTGATGACTGAGTGTAGCTAGGAGAGCCTAACTGTGCCTTGTATGTAAGTGATGACTGAGTGTAGCTAGGAGAGCCTAACTGTGCCTTGTATGTAAGTGATGACTGAGTGTAGCTAGGAGAGCCTAACTGTGCCTTGTATGTAAGTGATGACTGAGTGTAGCTAGGAGAGCCTAACTGTGCCTTGTATGTAAGTGATGACTGAGTGTAGCTAGGAGAGCCTAACTGTGCCTTGTATGTAAGTGATGACCGAGTCTAGCTAAGAGAGCCTAACTGTGCCTTGTATGTAAGTGATGACTGAGTGTAGCTAGGAGAGCCTAACTGTGCCTTGTATGTAAGTGATGACTGAGTGTAGCTAGGAGAGCCTAACTGTGCCTTGTATGTAAGTGATGACTGAGTGTAGCTAGGAGAGCCTAACTGTGCCATGTATGTAAGTGATAACTGAGTGTAGCTAGGAGAGCCTAACTGTGCCTTGTATGTAAGTGATAACTGAGTCTAGCTAGGAGAGCCTAACTGTGCCTTGTATGTAAGTGATAACTGAGTCTAGCTAGGAGAGCCTAACTGTGCCTTGTATGTAAGTGATGACTGAGTCTAGCTAGGAGAGCCTAACTGTGCCTTGTATGTAAGTGATGACCGAGTCTAGCTAAGAGAGCCTAACTGTGCCTTGTATGTAAGTGATGACTGAGTGTAGCTAGGAGAGCCTAACTGTGCCTTGTATGTAGTGATGACCGAGTCTAGCTAAGAGAGCCTAACTGTGCCATGTATGTAAGTGATAACTGAGTGTAGCTAGGAGAGCCAAACTGTGCCTTGTATGTAAGTGATGACTGAGTGTAGCTAGGAGAGCCTAACTGTGCCTTGTATGTAAGTGATGACTGAGTGTAGCTAGGAGAGCCTAACTGTGCCTTGTATGTAAGTGATAACTGAGTGTAGCTAGGAGAGCCAAACTGTGCCTTGTATGTAAGTGATGACTGAGTGTAGCTAGGAGAGCCTAACTGTGCCTTGTATGTAAGTGATGACTGAGTGTAGCTAGGAGAGCCTAACTGTGCCTTGTATGTAAGTGATGACTGAGTGTAGCTAGGAGAGCCTAACTGTGCCTTGTATGTAAGTGATGACTGAGTGTAGCTAGGAGAGCCTAACTGTGCCTTGTATGTAAGTG